CTTCGATTGAAAATGATGACCTCACAAAGAGTCAAAACTGCCAGTTTAGACCAATGCTTAGACGTTGGCTCACTTATTAGGGTTTGCACATATTCAGGTCGACATACCTCAATATGTGCATGCATGGCTCTAACGTCCTCAGTCAGAGGGAGCAGGTCCGGAGTGTTCCACTTGGCTTGCCGGAGGGTCTGTAGGGCAGCAGAAGAAACACAGACGTCCCACCTCTTCTCAAAAAGCAGCCGGCTTCGTTGGAGGTTTTTAATAAATAGTTCATCAACACAATGCTCCATTTTTGAGTCACATTCAAGAATATCTGCTAGCTTTCTGAGGCTATGGCCGAGTTTGAGGGCCAAGGATGGAGTCTTGTATTGATTTGTTTCCTCATCATATCCAGCCACAGACCTGACTGCATCAATCACATGGTTAAAGTTGGAAGGAATAAAGAAATCCTTAATTGTTTTCAGTTTCCCTGCGGTTTTTGCTTCGTTAATTAACCTACCGACTTCTCTCATTTTCTGCCTAATGTAATCATGCTTTGTCTTATCATGCCCGTGTTTTAAGTACAGGTGCTCTCCGAGTCTCAGAATCCCCTTTTCTGCTTTGACAACACCCGTGACCTCATCCTGATGCATTGCCGAAATTAAAGACCACAGCTTTTTGCTGATGCCCTCCGGTACAGGCTGGGCTAGGGAGCAGAGGGACTGGACCCTACTTCTACCTGGTTTAGCCTGGGCATCTTTCTGTGAAAGCCGGCACCTGGCCACATGCCTCCACAGCGACTTTCGCTTAAGCAATGCCCCACAGTCTATACAGTGCAAAAACTCACTGGATTTAACTGGGCAATTTGGCTGTTTAGCTGGGACTAAAGTTCCAATGCCGGCCTTTAAAACCTCAAAATTGTGCTCACGGTTTCCACTATTCCTGATCAAATCAAACTGAAGTTTACGTGCTTTAGATTTCACAGGTAGAGCCAATGCTCTGGCTACGTCACTTTCATTTCCATGTTTTCTAGTCAAATGACGGGACATTTTGTGGCAGGACATTGAACAGTAGAGGCAGAAGTGTCTCTTGCTGTATACTCGCCCCCCATTTTTCTTCTTTTGCAGCTGCATGATAACAATCTTATTTGCCTTTGGTTCGTCACTTTCCGAGTCTTGAAGAAAAGTGTTTTTGATTTTTCTTTTTCCATACTTTTTTACAGGTTTCTTCTTGACAGTTAAATCGTCAGAATCTGAGTCGACTTCATCAATTAGGGACTCTTGACTAAGCTGCACAAACAACAAATAATTTGTAATCATTCTATATAACAATTTGAAGTCATGACTTGTAGTCAGCACTTACCAGTGGTTTGTAAGCGTGCGCTTCAGTGTGCTCCTCCATGATTTCTTGCAGCCTAATGAACCACACACTTGCACCTTTTTCTAGCCTGACACCTGATTTCCTCTGTTGTGCTGCTCCATGATTGGCTCCAGCCTGCTGGACTGAAATTGCCCCAGTGTGCCCCTCCTTGATATCCCGCAACCCACCACCAGGGTTCCGACACATAACACACTTTTTTCAGGAAAGTAAACCTCCAGGGGTCCTTTCCATATTTTTACAGAGACTGCATAAGGACCATTAGAAAAGCATTACCCATTGATTATTAAGCTTGGACCAGTGGGGTCCGGTGTTCGGGCCCCACCACGTAAAACCAGTCCCCATGACGTGAGTGGAATCTCAGGTTATGGAACCCACCAGGAGTTGAAAACAAGTGCACACACACACACACACACACACACACACACACACACACACACACACACACACACACACACACACACACACACACACGCACACACACGTCTTCTGTGTGTGACCTATTTGAGCATCAGTCAGACCCAGAGCTTTCAGCTGCTGGTTCACCGCTCTAGTTTGTAAACAAGTGGTTTTCAAAGTGTTTACTGTCACTCTCTGTCACGTATTCTCCAGGTACTTTCCTTTCAACATTGTTTTTCTTTCACTATTTTGAATGTCAGTTTTGAAATGTGAAATTGCAGCTTGTGCTATTCTTGTCACATTGGAATTGAAATGATGATATCGTTTCTGGGATGTGAGAGCGTGGGGGCAGAGTGAGACCATAATAAAACACAGAGCTGCTGGTGGGTAACCACATATGGAGAGCGCACACATTGAATAATTGGCTTTTGTTTGTAGGATTTCCCAACGAGTTTGAGTGAGACAAAACGAGTGTAGTAGACGAAAACACAGACAATTCTCAAAACATTATTTCAATCTGAAAAGACTCAAGACGAAGACTGCATTTGCAAGAGATTGCAAGAATATTTATTGTCAAGAAGCATAAAGAGACACCAACAGACAATAATTGATTAATAATGAATCAATTATATTGATTACTAATATATTTATTGTAAATGAACTTTAAGTGTTCATTAAGATTGTCGATTAGACCCCGGCAGGAATACTTCATGACATATGCAGAAGGGAGTTTAATAGAAATTACGAGCTTGCAATCCCCCGGGGCCTAGAACCTGGTGGCGAAGAAGCTGAGCCGCAGACATAACTTGATAGTCCACTGACGAGGCGGTGATGGGGAGGAGGTGGGTTGCTGCAGGAGCTTGAGCTGCAAAGAACTGAGAGGTTCTGATTTAATGCAGCCATGATGAGCACAGGCGTGTTACTGAGCAGCTGAGGCCGATGTTGATCTCAGGTGCAGGCGTGTAGAGGGAGGAGTCCAGTGTGGCAGCATGACGTCTCTTTGGAATTTGTGCTTAAGTAGGGCTGGGCGATTAATCGATTTTAATCATTAATTCGAGTTTTACATTTAGGGCGATTTCTTTTTTTAAAAATTCGATTTTTATTTTCTCCAGCGCAGAACTACAGCGCTAACGCGCTAACCGCGGGTCTATGGTGTTGAGCAGTCATTTTGAAGCTAACCTAATGCTAACAGTCTCCCTCTGGCCTGATGCTCGCTCTCACAGTTGGTGCTGTTGCAATAACACTTCAAACGTTCAAGAATCAGACTTTATGTAATCGCCAGAACACACACACACACGCACGCAAGCCCCGGTCGCTATGTTCGTACGCCATGTTCGTACGCCACATCTTTCACGCTCTTTCACGCTCGTTATTCCAAAGCGCACTCCCGTGTCCGTGGCGCGCACACACTCGTGTCCCACTGAGCCGCTGCACTTTGGGGAAAGACGTCTCACACATTGCTCTCATTGCTCTGATACAAACAACGTGTTCCCCGCTGTCTGCTCGCTACAGTAGCTGTTAGCTACAGTAGCTGCTACAGTAGCTGCTAGCTACAGCATCAGAATGTAAACAGGAAGCTCGCACAATGCGGGAGTCACTGAAGTTAGTATTAGCGCCACCAGCTGGACCGAGCGTTGTACTACAGCACAGTTACTCAGGCACAGTTGAAAGAACAAGCATGAAAACCCGAGGAGGCTTTTGGAAAAGACTGTCTGTTACAACATTTCTATTTTGAGTAATCAGTTTTAAAAATGTGATATTTCATGTAAATAATGCATGTGTTTAATAGGATTGATATATTTGCGATGGGCCTTGTTTATGTGATTTAAGTTATTTTGAAGGTGCATAGTGTCATTGTAAGTGAAGTTATTATAAAACTGTTAAGCTACATTTTCACTGTTTACAATGGCAGAGCCATCTCGTTTACAAGCATGTTTTAAGGCTTAATTCCTGTTACACTTATGCTCCATGGGGATTTAGATTGAACTGCATAAAGGAAAATCTATTTCTTTGTCAGTTGTAGTTTGTTTTTAAATAGAAAAAAAATAAATCGATTTAAATCGAAAATCGGATTTGGTGTGAAAAAATCGGAGATTTTTTTTTTTTGCCATATCGCCCAGCCCTACGCTTAAGCTTTATATCTGATCCAAACTCTTCTGAAATGTTGTGAAAAATAGCAATTTAAACATGCAGTTACTGACATATTTACAGTGGATTAATACACACTTTTGAGAGTTTGGTCTGGCTTGAGAATATTTCATCAATATCTTTCCTTCATATCTCATTTTAGACTATACGACTATATATATCTTTACAATGTACGATTATTAGGGGTACACCCTAGACTGTAAATATGCACCAATACAAAACTGATATCGGATATCAGTGGTTGGTAATAGACAGATTATCAAAAAAAGTTTTTGAATCAGATATTTGTTTGATGTTATCCATCGGGCCAATATCTTGGCCATTACTGGCTGATATTTACCCAAAACAGTTTTCACTTGTGCCACAAAGTTGTTCTGTTGTTACTTGCAGGATAAATAACTGTATTTATTCTAGCTGTAATAAAGTTTTAATACAGTTAAAAGACGTTGATGTGGAGCATGAGTTGGCCATTGAAGTCCTGTGACCTGTGGCTGTTCATTGGCTCAACTCCAGAAGCAGCAGTGCTATGAGTGTCTTCTCTGTTCTGAACGATGGAGGAGATTAAGCCTCAGTGTTGCACGGCTAGACTTGCTGCCAAAGTTATTACAGCAATTAGCAAAAACGACCATGCTCCTTATTAAAGTACACAGCATTTAGACGGAGACGAAAAACAATGTACAGTAGTTCAAGCAACCGGCCAGTAGTAGCCAGTGGACACTTAGAGCACGATATACAGTAGGTGACCCTCAACAGTTCCTCAACAACACCCTTCAACACACACACACACACACACACCAATGCACCAACATAATTCTGCATTTAACATTTTTTTTAATTACATATGCTACATGCTATATGTTTTCATTTACCTGTTAAAACATCTTTCAAATAGCTTGTTTCTGAGCTTTGGACAACTGCTGCTTAGTTTTCGTAACAAATATTCTGCAGACACACACACAAGAACACAAACACACACACACATACACATACGCATGAACACACACACACAGAAGTAATCAGTCAAGCTATGATTAGGACACAACAACAATTCTTTGTTTACTAAATAAAAGAACTAACAGCGTGTTTGTGTCTGACAGAAATCCGTAACCAGTTGGTGGAGCAGTTCAAATGTCTGGAGCAGCAGTCGGAGTCACGGATCCAGCTTCTCCAGGACCTGCAGGAGTTCTTCCGACGGAAAGCCGAGATCGAGCTGGAGTATTCCCGCAGCCTGGAGAAACTGGCCGATCGCTTCTCCTCCAAGATCCGCAGCTCCAGAGAACACCAGCAGTTCAAGTGAGTGTCTATTGTGGATGTCCCCATACCCATACTGCCATTGGCTAAATAACAGAAACCACACTCCTTTCAGGCTAGCACTTGCATGATCTGTATCAGACATAAATTTTGCGGAATTTGTATGATAATAATCAGATTTCAAATAGTTCAGTGTGACGACATAGTTTTCAATGTCTCTCAAATATTTGTCATCTTTCTTTCAATTTTTGTATAAAATGTTCTTTAATAAGATATTATGTGGTATTGACCCAGTATTGGTTGCAGCCCCGCTTATATGGCCAAGTATCCATATCGGTCCATAAGTCCACTTTCAGTATCTAAAACGTTTTAATATAATACATATTTTTGACTCTGTATCTGACCCATCCATCCATCCATTTTCTTCCGCTTTATCCGTTGCCGGGTCGCGGGGGCAGCAGTCTAAGCAGAGACGCCCAGACTTCCCTATCCACACACACCTCCTCCAGCTCGTCCGGGGGGACCCCAAGGCGTTCCCAGGCCAGCTGAGAGACATAGTCTCTCCAGCGTGTCCTGGGTCTTCCCCGGGGCCTCCTCCCGGTGGGACGTGCCCGGAAAACATCCCCAGGAAGGCGTCCAGGAGGCATCCTGAACAGATGCCCGAGCCACCTCAACTGGTTCCTCTCGACGTGGAGAAGCAGCGGCTCTACTCCGAGCTCCTCCCGTGTGACTGAGCTCCTCACCCTATCTCTAAGGGAGCGCCCAGCCACTCTGCGGAGAAAGCTCATTTCGACCGCTTGTATCCGCGATCTCGTTCTTTCGGTCATTACTCAAAGCTCATGACCATAGGTGAGGGTGGGAACGAAGATTGACCGGTAAATCGAGAACTTCGCCTTTCGGCTCAGCTCCCTCTTTACCACAACGGTCCGATACAGAGACCGCATCACTGCGCACGCTGCACCGATCCGCCTGTCAATCTCACGCTCCATTCTTCCCTCACTCGTGAACAAGACCCCGAGATACTTGAACTCCTCCACTTGAGGAAGGACCTCTCCACCCACCTGGAGAGGGCAAGGCACCTTTTTCCGGTCGAGCACCATGGCCTCGGATTTGGAGGTGCTGATTCTCATCCCAGCCGCTTCGCACTCGGCTGCAAACCGTCCCAGTGCATGCTGCAGGTCCTGGTTCGTTGGAGCCAACAGGACGACATCATCCGCAAAAAGTAGAGATGAAATCCTGTGGTTCCCGAACCGGACCCCCTCCGGCCCCTGGCTGCGCCTAGAAATTCTGTCCATAAATACAGTGAACAGAACCGGTGACAAAGGGCAGCCTTGGCGGAGGCCAACATGCACCGGGAACAGGTCTGACTTACTGCCGGCAATGCGAACACAGCTCTGGCTCCGGTCATACAGGGACCAGACGGCCCTCAGCAGAGGGACCCCGGACCCCGTACTCCCGGAGGACCCCCCAAAGGACACCCCGGGGAACACGGTCGAACGCCTTCTCCAAATCCACAAAGCACATGTGGACAGGTTGGGCGAACTCCCATGAACCCTCGAGTATCCGATGGAGAGTATAGAGCTGGTCCAGTGTTCCGCGACCGGGACGAAAACCACACTGCTCCTCCTGAATCCGAGATTCGACCATCGGACGTAGCCTCCTCTCCAGTACCTTGGAGTAGACCTTACCGGGGAGGCTGAGGAGTGTGATCCCACGATAATTGGAACACACCCTCCGGTCCCCCTTCTTGTAGAGAGGGACCACCACCCCGGTCTGCCACTCCATTGGCACCGCCCCCGATCGCCACGCGATGTTGCAGAGACGTGTCAGCCAAGACAGTCCTACAACATCCAGAGACTTTAGATAGTCAGGACGGATCTCATCCACTCCCGGCGCCTTGCCACCAAGGAGGCTGCCAACCACCTTGGTGACCTCGGCCAGGGAGATGGAAGTGTCCGCCCCAACATCCTCAGCCTCTGCCTCCTGAACGGAGGACGTGACGGGGGGATTGAGGAGAACCTCGAAGTATTCCTTCCACCGCCCGACAATATCCTCAGTCGAGGTCAGCAGCCCTCCACCCGCACCATACACGGTGTTGGCAAAGAACTGCTTCCCCCTCCTGAGGCGCCGGACGGTTTGCCAGAACCTCTTTGAGGCCGACCGATAGTCATGCTCCATGGACTCTCCGAACTCCTCCCAGTCCCGGGTTTTTGCCTCTGCAACAGCCCGGGCCGCGGCACGTTTGGCCTGCCGGTACTGGACAGCTGCCTCAGGAGTCCCACGAACCATCATTGCTCGATAGGACTCCTTCTTCAGCCTGACGGCATCCCTTACTGCCGGTGTCCACCACCGGGTTTGGGGATTGCCGCCGGGACCAGCACCAGAGACCTTGCGACCACAGCTACGAGCCGCCGCATTGGCGATAGAGGAAGAGAACATGGTCCACTCGGACTCGATGTCCCCCTCCTCCGCCGGGACCTGGGAGAAACTCTCCCGGAGGTGTGAGTTGAAAGTCCGTCTGACAGGGGGCTCAGCGAGACGTTCCCAGCAAACCCTCACTATACGCTTGGGTCTGCCAGGTCTGACCGGCTTCTTCCCCTGCCAGCGGATCCAACTCACGACCAGGTGATGATCGGTTGACAGCTCCGCCCCTCTCTTTACCCGAGTGTCCGAGACACGCGGTCGAAGGTCAGATGATACGACAACAAAGTCGATCATCGACCTCCGGCCTAGGGTGTCCTGGTGCCACGTGCACTGGTGGACACCCTTGTGCTCGAACATGGTGTTCGTGATGGACAGGCCGTGACTGGCACAGAAGTCCAACAACTGAACACCGCTCGGGTTCAGATCAGGGGGGCCGCTCTTCCCAATCACCCCTCTCCAAGTGTCACTGGCATTTCCCACATGGGCGTTGAAGTCCCCCAGGAGAATAACGGAGTCCCCGGGCGGTGCACTGTCCAGTACCCCTCCCAAGGACTCCAAGAAGGCCGGGTACTCTGCACTATCGTTAGGCCCGTAGGCCGTCACAACAGTGAGAGACTTGTCCCCCACCCGGAGGCGGAGGGACGCGACCCTCTCATTCACCGGGGAGAACTCCAACACGTGGCGGCTGAGATGGGGGGCAATGAGTATGGCCACCCCAGCTCGCCGCCTCTCCCCGCGGGAAACACCAGAAAAGTGGAGCGTCCAACCCCTCTCAAGGAGTTGGGTTCCAGAGCCCAAGCTGTGTGTGGAGGTGAGGCCGACTATCTCTAGTCGGTATCGCTCAACCTCCCCCACAAGCTCGGGCTCCTTCCCCCCAGTGAGGTGACGTTCCACGTCCCAAGAGCCAGATGTTGGGTGTGTGGACTGGGTCGTCGAGGTCTCCGCCTTCGACCGCTGCCCAGTCCTCGCTGCACCACGCCACCACGGACCCCTCTGCAGGTGGTGGGCCCACAGGAGGGACTGCCCACGTCATCCCTTCGGGCTGAGCCCGGCCGGGCCCCGTGGGCTAAGGCCCGGCCACCAGGCGCTCGCTTGCGAGCCCCGACCCCAGGCCTGGCTCCAGGGTGGGGCCCCGGCTGCGCCATGCCGGGCGACGTCACGGTTTTTGTTGTCGTGCTGTCCATGGTTGGCTTCGGACTGCGCTTCGTCTGACTCGTCACTTGTATCTGACCCATCTCATATTATTTAGAACACACACATCATCATTAGATTGGATATTTTATTTATACTTTTGGACACTAAATGTATCGTGCCACAATGGAAATTGTGATGTAAAATATTCATTTATTCTTCTCGGCTCGAATGACTGAATGGATCAATCTTGTATTCATACAAAAATGTCACATGAAGAGTGAACAAAGACTTCAAGAATGGTCTTGATCAAGTGTATTTCAGAATGGGTACAACATGTGCTATTACTTTGAATAGCCCAAAAACCTGACAAAAATGCAGTATTGTTCTGATACTTAAGTTGTGTGACAATTCAATTCAATTCAACTTCAGATTCTAGGTCTAATTTACAACACAGACAAGACAAAAATGAACAAAAACAGACAGAAACATTTAGCAGAATAAATTCAGTGAAAGTGAGTCTATCTGAACCAGATAGACTCTCCTCCTCCTCTGCAGAATTCGCTGCTCACATTTCCCATTAGCACGCGCCTCATGCAGTGCGTGAAATCCAGCTCTGTGTGCTCTCAAACTCCTGTGCTCCGGGTGAACCGGCAAAGCTCTGTTCAGCCTTGAAACGGAAGCAATCACCCACTGTTTGCATGTTGCGTGTGTGTCTATGTATCTCTTATCTGGCAGACAGACCCAGTTCCATCTCCCACACGTAGGAAGTAAAGTTGGACTCTGGTTGGACTGTGTTTGCCGTGGACTTGCTAATTGGCTGCAGATGTATGTGTTGAAATGTGCCTGCTGGTCCATTCTTTTGCTGTTGCAGCCTTAACCTTTGGCAGGGAAGTTTTTATTCACACTATAACAGGCTTTCTCACCATTCTGACTTCAGAAGTATCTCAAGAGAGTGTGCAAAATACTTTTATAGTACTACTTATCCTCTGAATGACTACAATGCTCCACTGCTATTGCTCATGAGACGAAGCAGTAAGGTAGGGAAGTGCTAATAAATCGTAAAGCATAACCACACAGAAAGTAATATGTTTTTACTGTACTACTACCACTATAAACATGTAAAATCCTCCAGCTCCAGTCGTCCTGACCAACCCGAGCATCTACAGCTGGAGATGGGACAAATTTCCATACGGAGACAATAAAGTATACCTCAACTTTACCATGAATGTATGCAGAAAAAATTGAGATGTATTTCCCATCTTGTAATGTAATATTATGTTTATGGCATTTTTCCACCACTTCAGGATAATGCCTTCTGGGCCAATACCAGTGGGGGGGTGGTCTCGGCTCAAAAAGGTGCGCTGAGTGGGCCGGTGGGGGTGTACCTGGAAACAGAAATATCCATTGAATTATGACGTGTTTTGTCCTCGCAAAAACGGCTGTACAGGATGGTCCAAAAACACTACTTTGCGTTGTATGTCACT